CATTTAGTTTTTTTAATGGTTTTATCAAAATTTTGTAGTAAAAAATACAAAAAAAAAATTTATGCTTTAGCAAATAGTTTAACAATTTAATTAAAAATATTTTTATGAAAAGGATTTAATTTGTCTCGAAAGAATTAATTAAGACACGAGTATTTGCAGTTTCTACTTAAGTAATTTTTGAAGTTTAAGGGTGAGTTGCACCATATCGGCGGTTACCGTTAAAGTTAAAATTATTTGAAATGGTAATATTTGGAATAATCTTAAAATTTACTAAGGATGAGTTACATTAACTAACTATAAACCTTAACCAGCACATTCCCGATGGTTACGTCTTCGGATGTTCATGATATTCGCTACACCAGTTTTGCGCTGATCAAAATGACGTCATATTTGACACTAATCATAACCGCTCGATTTTGGGCGGTTATAGTTAGCGTTACGGTTAGTGTCAGTTCGGTAGTGTCAACTGTCACAAGCTCTTATCTTCAAAAGCACAAATAATGGAAAAAGTAATAGAAAAAGAAAATATCTACTATTATCCTATACGTAATCCAGAAGAATAAAGTCTTGCGTGCTCGGAAATAATGGATTTCCAAGATGGAACTCGAAATTTGGCCAAACATTCAGTTTGGACAAATTTCGAGTGTCTAAGGCCATAGCAACAGCGCTTGTCCCTTTTCTCTTATTTAAAAAAATGTCCTCTATAAAAGGTCAATTTATAATATGCATTGACAGGACAATTTATAATATGGAAAATAAATAAGATGCATTTATATTTGTATAATTTTATTGCTTCACTTTTGCTACATATTTGAGTAGTAAAGTAAATACAGTTTCAATAATGGCCCAAACTAGTTTATTTTCACAAGAGTTTGCCATTTTCTCCATCTTCGTAGGCAAAAAGTTTATTTCACTATAAAATACCATGCGTATGATACATAAATATAATCGGCGAAACATGAATTTCCAAACATTTTAATTTACGTAAATGTCATTCTTGACACCAACTTGACACTTTAGTGACATTCAGGTTTAAATGTTTCCATTGTAAAAACGAAAAACACATAAAACCTCTGTGAGAATATGTTTTTGCACTTGTAACCCTATTATAACTTTTACGATAACCAGCGATTTAATGCAACTCACCCTAAGTAAACACGACTTTACTAAGATACGAAAGTATTAAGATTTTAATGAGACACTCGAATTTAAAGCTTATTATTATGAATTACGTGTTTTATATGTTTTTTTTTACAGACAGCATGACAAAATAAATACTATCATACTGGCACACTCAAATTTTTTTTTTTTACAAAAATATTAGTCGATTTTTGTTAATTTCCTAATTACATTACATTAGCAGTTGAATCAATGTTATTTTCCTTTTGTAAATGATCACTAAGGGTCTCTTTCAAACGATTCTGAGAGTAAATGTATTAAATTTATGTAAAAATAATCGTAATTTTAAAGAAAGTATTAACAATGACAATATCTAGATTCGCGAAAACAAAGGTTTAAATGAACGTTAATTAAGGCAAAACTTTAATAATATTCTGAACTGAGTTATTAATTCAATTTACAATTCAAAAACTATGCGGACATTGAGAACTGGGCACGGATTCTATCATAATATTATGCAGAGTGAGTCAGTTTTGTTACGAAATCCTTTCGACTACGTTTAACAGTTGATTTTGATAACAGGCGCTTTCTGTATTATTGTTTGGTGGCTTGCACTTTTAAAGATTTAACAACGCAAGATATTAAGAAGCAACTTCTAGTTAGTTTCACACTTAAATCGATAATGAATACAGGTATTAAAAAGGATTTGAAATCCAACCCCAAAACGATTAATATGTGATTTTCGTTACCAGCAACTAAAATACATCATCTTTGCGTAAACTGAAATTTTTCTTTTGACATTACAAACAGACACTCCAATGTTATATCCTTCCATCTAAAAGTTCGCATTCATAATATAAGTATGATTTATTTCTTATTATCTGCTTGTATACCAAATTCTCATTAAAACCACATACACATCGGATACTTCAGCTATTAAGGTTTACAAAAGCCTTTGTAAGATATGAATATAATTAAGATTGACACGTAAGAAAGGGATGATAGCAAGTCATTAGCGAACGTAATCGCTCTTATGTTTAAATCTCAAACGAGCAAATTATACATTTATTAATGGATCCATTTAATGGTAAATTAAATGGTTACCTATTCTACCTTCTATTGAACGAATAGATTTAAAAAATAATAATCACTATTTACATTAGGTATTCTTTAACAACGTATAAGACCATATTAGTCACATTAATCATACTACTCGTAATACGGTAGAACCTCAATATAACACGAAATATTTTAAGTTATAAAGGTTTTAAGTTATCAAGGGTCTATGTTATAGACGTTTTGGGCTCTGATAGGAAGGGATATTATTATTTTTGTAGTTATAGAGGTTTTTAAGATATCGAGATTCTACTGGTTTATAAATGTGAAAATTTAGATGGATGGATGTTTGTTAGACTTTGTAGCCTAAACGGCTGAATGGATTTCGATGAAATTTAGTATAGATGTAGAGGATAATCTGGAAGAACGCGTATGCTACTCACTTTTTTTTTGATTCCACGCGAACGGAGTTGAATGCTAAAGCTAGTGATTTAATAATATTTAGATTAGTTATAACATTAGTTCAAACAAACATTATAATCATCATTTAAAAGAAAATAAATGATCAATTATAATTAACTAATTAACTCGATGTAATAATAAAATAAACAATACTACACTTACAGACGCGACCTTAAGCGAAAATGTTTTCCCGTTTTATCAAATCGTTTACACTTAGTAATATAGCGAGGAGCAACACACTTAATGGTCGTAATAAGAACAAAATGAAGCGAAAGGTAAACATACGAACAGGATATTGTCGATGGGGTAAACAGAAATAAGGGATAACACGCTGTAATAGTTATTACATTTTTTAATATCCCTTATTGTACAAGGAAAACAATAATATTTACATTAAACCAGCTGTTGCTAAAATTAAAATTATAGACTATGTTACTCACTGATAACGGTGTTTTTTAATGTTTAAAGAATTTTTTAAATCGCTCCAATAGTTTATGAGTTATTTCAATATGTACACAAATACAAATCATTCGTCATTATAATATTAGTATAGTTATGATTAATAAAAATCTAACGATGTAAAAAATAGATGTACATTTTTTATGCCTTAGTTTAACAAAATTTAAAAAATTATTTTTTTTTAATCTGAATGTGGAATAAATATAATTTTACTTTGTAGTAAAATCATCAATTATTTGCTACGTGATATTTTATAATTCTCTAATAAGTAAAACTAAGTCTTGCGCAAGTAATGCTTACTTAGCAAATTTATCTACATTTCCGGGATTTCAAATCTATCTTTAGATCTTAAATGGTTTTGTAAACTTACATTTTGAAACACTTTTAGTTAGTTTAATAATTGCTACCTATAACTAGGACAATAAATTGTACATGAAGTCAATAAATGATGAAACAGGAAATATAATATTGGTGATTGCAATGTAACATTATTTCCTGTATGCAATGCAATCTTTGAGGTCGAACATCACTACAGTAATCTATACATATAATAAAATTGGAGTGTCTGTTTGTGATATCAAAAAAAATTACAAATTTCTGCAAGATGATGCATTTGCGTTGCTGATAACGAAAATCAAATTTAAAAAAATGTCTGTCTGTCTGTACGCAAGCCGAATTTACTAACATAATGCGAAAATCCAGATGGATGGATGTTTGTTTGAGTTTGCCGCCTATACGATGAAATTTGGTATAGGTGTAGAGGATAGTCTGGAAACATTTAGACTTTACTTTTGTTTTATTCCACACGGACATAGTCGCGTTTGACAGCTAGTATGACAAAGTATAATAATCATTTTAATGAAAAAGTAGAAGAGAAAAAGGATTAACATAAAATATTTGAATAGAAACCAAACAAAAGTGTAGATGGGAAATGGAAACGCTTCATTGTTATGACCTTAATATTATACTTTACAGGATACATTAATTGACACTATGACAAAGAATGTAAGGCATTTTTAAAACTAATAACGATTATTGAATAGCATTTCTTATTCAATTGTATGAAGAATTAATACAACTTAGGTACGCTTGTTTTAATTAGACATGCTTTTGATAATCTTAAGCACATTGATTTACAACGAACCTATTAAATGACTTACTAGAAAACGATATCAAAAACAAATAATTACTAAACGAGGGTTTAGTATTAGAATTAGGTATTCGAACTAAGGAACTGCTTAAACGACATGATAACCGCCAAGTATGCACAAATTGTGTGTGCGTAGAAATGTGAGTGGAAATTAGGTATGTATTTAGCAATGCAACTCGAAAAATTCTTCTATACCAATAAAGTTAAAGTACACGTGTAAGCAGTAAAAATTATAAGACGGTGTGCAACGTGTTAACAAAAGATTATCAAATTAAATGAAATTTATAAAAAAAAACCTTGAAACAATTTCCGATTCTCCCCGACCTCTTTGCCTCCCAAATCGACATAACATCCACTTTTTTCTTTATATGTAAATTATGTTTTTATTCTTTGTCTTAATTATTTTTATAATAGGTCGTCGTGTCCTTTCATATGTACATATATGTAAAAGTAACCGCAGAAAGAGATGTTTTGTTTTTCTATGAATTCCTCATGTCCCCTACATAAATGCCAATCACCTTTAGTTGTAAACAATGTTACTTTACAAACAAAAGCGTCTCCAGGCGCCCCCGACTAATTATCTCGGACGGGGACAAGGCAAATATTTGATAGTAGTATAGTATTCAACCGTTTCGTGTTTGCTTACAAGGAGTGATAACTATAGATAGATGATTAACCTTCGACACGCGCCGTCGGTCGGCCGGCCACTTGCCCCGTATCGTGTGGTTCGACGCAATTAGTCGGCGTATGAGCACGACCCACAGCCGAGCGGTCAGTCGACGCGCCGCACTCCAGCGGGTAACGTGTCTACGTATATAAGTATCATATCTGAACACACAAAGAAAGCAGAATGATTTATTCAAGTGTAACGTGTTTGCTGCTCTGCGCGTTCGCTGTCACAGCCGATTCCTCGGAACCGCTCAGCGACGACTTTATCAATCTAATCAACTCAAAACAGGACACATGGAAAGCCGGTCGAAACTTTCCAGTGGATACGCCGGTCAAACATATACAGAAACTAATGGGTACGTTGAAAGATGATCGCTTCACCACCCTCGTTACTTTACAGCACGAAGTTGATTTAATAGCGAGTTTGCCCGAGAACTTCGATCCGAGAGACAAGTGGCCCAATTGTCCGACATTAAACGAAGTAAGAGATCAAGGGTCGTGCGGAAGTTGCTGGGCGTTTGGCGCAGTCGAAGCAATGACTGATCGCGTTTGCACATACTCGAACGGTACAAAACATTTCCATTTCTCTGCCGAGGATCTGCTCAGTTGCTGTCCTATTTGCGGGCTCGGTTGTAATGGGGGCATGCCGACGCTCGCCTGGGAATACTGGAAGCATTTCGGTTTGGTTTCCGGCGGCAGTTACAACTCCACCCAGGGCTGCAGACCATACGAGATTCCTCCGTGCGAGCACCACGTGCCAGGTAACAGATTGCCGTGCAGCGGAGACACTAAGACTCCTAAATGTATTAAGAAATGCGAGGACAATTACAATGTGGCATACAAACAGGATAAGCACTATGGTAAGCACATCTACTCGGTGAGAGGTGGTGAGGATCACATCAAAGCGGAACTGTACAAGAACGGGCCTGTGGAAGGCGCTTTTACGGTGTACGCGGACCTGCTGTCGTACAAGAGCGGTGTTTACAAACACGTCGCCGGCGATGCCCTCGGCGGACACGCGATTAAGATAATGGGTTGGGGCGTTGAAAACGGCAACAAGTACTGGCTTATCGCGAATTCTTGGAACAGCGATTGGGGTGACAATGGATTCTTCAAAATACTCCGAGGTGAAGACCATTGTGGAATCGAAAGCTCCATTGTTGCCGGCGAACCTTTGCTTGATTAATTGACTCACGTTTCATGCGTAAACAACATGTTAGTCATTGACAACCTATAAATATGTTTTGTTACAGACTAATTGTAATTTAATAAACAACTTTACTTTAAAAACATGTCCTTTCTTCCTTCCCCCTCTTCTTAACAAAAATCATAGTCAAATTAAATTTAACAAAAGTAACAAATAAATTGTTTATTTATATCGAGTTCTAATGCCTCCTTTAAAAAGCAGTCAAATTTAATAAAACAGTTGTTGACTCGATTAGCTGACATTTCTAATTATCAAGAAACCAAAAAAAAGTAGGTATTACATCCACTGATTGCGTAACAGAATTTGACTCTGGGTACGAAAAATTCTGAGTAACAAATCTGTATTAAAAAATAAAAGAACTTGCCATGCATGTAATACTTCTGAGCAAAACCACTGCATAATTTAACCTGACGCATGAATTTTAACGGCAACCATTTAATGAGCACAATTGCTCTAATCGGCAAATTAACTGCTTAGCTGAGGCTACACGTATTGTATGTTTCATTCGTTTTTTCTCCTTTTCTTTAAAAAAAAACTGTTAACATACTTTAGTATGGATGTTTAATCAGTGAACCGACGGTTAGACAAAATTTGTTTATACGAGTATTAGCACACGACATAGTTACGTACTGGGGGCATAATTTTAGTTTACTTTTGTCCCGTCAATAACATATGACAAAGGGATGGAAGAGAATTTGGCGAAGGAAGGAATGCTTAGAAATGGGAAATATGCTATTTCTGTAACGGTAGTGTTTGATACACATTTCTGGGAATCCAGATGGCCTTTTCCCACTTTATATAAAAACTGTTTCTTTTTTTATGCAACTGTTTCTATTTTCGCTTTGATACCTAACATGCGTGATAGTTTATACTAGAATCTATTAACTACAATAAAATCTAATTCATTCGACATTATTAATACAAATTAAATTAGTAATTGTAGTTAGCAGAAGCATTTAAACTTGGCGTTCGCACTCTAATGTTATCCAGTTAATTTAACCTCGAGCGGTTAAAAGCCGACTTAAACGTCGAGAGTATATTCGTTTTTCACATTTCATTAAAAAATTTTAACTTGCTAAGCGCGGTCGAGGCACTTTGAGTGGTTTCACGATGAGTTTTTAAACCGTGTAACGAATACGAGTAGAGTTTGTTTTAGTCTAGTGTTTATATGATTTTTTTTAGCATTCATGTACATTTAAATTGTAGCAACATTTGATTTTATATTGTATGTTAAATTTTTCCACGGAATAAACATTTGGTATTTTAGTGGAAAGAATGTGCTGTATTTATTCAATAGGTAACAATGAACGAGCGTTAATTATTATGTACCTAACTACGTAATTATTCCTTGTATAATAACTATTGTATAGTCGATGTTCTTCATTTCATTATCAACATGTTTTCTTGATAATTTCTAAACTAAAAACGATCTAGAGTGTATCTATTTAGAAATAAAACATGTCACAGATAATTTCCAGAATTCTGGTTGAACAGGGTTCAAATTTATTTTTCCAATCTTACATTAACATTATTGAAATGTGAATGTTTGTAGCCTAAACTACTGAACCTCCATAAAATTTTGCATAGATGTAGAGGATAGTGTAAAGGAACACACGGGCTATTTATTTTTGTTTTTTAATGCCACGCGGACGGAGTCAACAGTGGTAGAGCCCGCTTTAACATCTTCGCACGAATGGGCCGGCCTACATTTAGTACCTTGCCCTTTCCACCCTTTCCTTGAGAGGAATGGATGGGAAGGAAATGTGGATTTGACGGTGGAGGAGACGCATAGGAAGGGAAAATTTCCTTTTTATGTGCGTCTCTTCCTCCGTCAATCAAGGGTAGGCAACGCATCTGCAATTCGGATGTTTATCGGCAGCAGTGACTTTCCATTTCGGTGGATTCAGGTGGCCGTTTGCCACCTTTGTTATAAAAAAAAAGTCACGAAAGTTAGTAGCTAGCTTTGTGCGGAATAACAAAAAAGAAAAGGGTAATCGCTCTCAAAGTTTAATAAAGGATAAGATAAACCAATGGATAAATCCATAACTCTGTTGTTGAACGAAGGGCACTATTCAATTTAAGAAAATGCGATCCGTCACTGTCATTCGCCATGCTGCAGTAATTGACCGAATGGGGAATGGCCCAAAGAGCGTCCCTTTTAAATTGTAATTACTTTCGGATAGCGGATAGTAGTGACAAACTTTCACTCAATTGAATGTAAGGAAATAAAATAAAGAATGATTACAACTGTTGTCTTAATTATTTAAGCAAAAGCATCTTCATTGTTAATATGTAATTCGTTACATTACAATAACGGAGTGTGAATAAGAATTGTGGATAAAAGAAAAGATCGAAGGAGCAAAATGATGTTGAAAAGCGGTGAATGTTGTTTACCTCAACTCAACTATTATAAAAATAGTTTTTGTTTGTATTGTTACGACTGTTTTTTAATGTCCCTCTTTATCTTACTAGTATTATAAACGAAGAAATTTAGATGGATGGATGGATATTTGTTAGAGTTTGAAGCCAAAACTGCTGAACTCAATGTAATTTGGCAAAGATATAGAGGATAGTCTGGAAGAGCACTCATGCTACTAACTTTTGTTTTATATTTCCGCGCGGACGTAGTCGCGGGAGAAAGCTACTATGCTATACTCATCTCTATGCTATATCGTAATTAGTTGTTATTCTGTATTTACTGGAAAACATTATATGCTTAATGTTCATGCGAATGTTTTACGATAATTTGATATGTTTGAATCATCTGCGTCGACTTGTCACATGTTATGTGTTCGTAATACATTAGTGCGTGTTAACTAACATCCGGGCTTGTCTGTTTTGATTTCATTTAAATATTAATTCATTGGATTTCGAATGTAGTTCTATCACAATGTAAGACATGACATTCGATCTTTCGTTACATTAACGATTAATGCAGCAGCGATCTAATGTAACCTCAATCTAATCTATACATATAATAAAATTGGAATGTCTGTTTGTAATATCAAAAGAAAAATTCCAGATTTCGGTAAGATTTTTTTTTATGTCAGTCTCTTCTTACCCGGACTTTCACTGAAGGGTAGCCGGCATAAACAGGCATATTATAGGCTACTTTTTTATTTTGATATTGCGTGGACGAAATCGCGGGCAACAGCTAGTCTTAAGTACAAATTGAATTAGCAATTCGCCCTTAAGGGTTCTAGGATAAATCTTGTATGTAATCTTTAGATCCAGGGTTTGATTCAAGCAATGTACCGATGTTATTCGATTTTCGAATTTCATACGTACCCTACGTTCTTACGCTGAAGGAAAATGTTGTGATGCAAAGTGCACAATCAGATAAAATAACTATGGTGCGAAAAGCATTAAAATTGACTACTTGTGAATTTTATGTTCACATAACTTAATTCTTATATCCTCATCACTTATTATTATTTCCATTAAGCGATTAGCCCCGTGATTGACTGATAATGAAAAAGAAAAATTAAAAGTTGGCAATTTTATATTAAACTAGCATTTACCCGTGACTCTGTCCACGTGAAATTTAAAAATAATAATACAGAAACGTGAAAATACAGCCTATGTTACTCACAAATAAATTACCTTTCTAACGGTGACAGAATTTTTAAAATCGTCCCAGTAGTTTTTGAGCCTATTCATTACAAACAATATTTTTCTCTTTATAATATTAGTATAGATAATTGCCACTAGTGTTGGCCCTTAGGACGAAATTAAACCATATTTCAAAAACTAAGAATTTTTGTGTAAAATGTTACGTTTATAAGTTCTCGCAATTTCCAAAGTATACAAAATTTTCGCTAATTAAAACACACCTATAAAATCCAAATAACACTTTATTAATAACTACAATCAATAATTTATTCTGTAGTTTAGAAGATTAGCACATTTACAATATTTATAGCGTTTATTTCTAATGTGAATAAAATCTAAAGCAATCATTATACAAGTCAATACAATTTCCAGTAATTACCATTAACCCCAGTTTACATTCCAGGCCAGTGATACATTACAACGGAAAAATGTAAACCCACAAAAGATTACAGTCAATGAATTCCAGTGTGGGATTATATTTAACGCTGGAAAACAACAATGTAAACTGAGCTTTATGTATATGTAGGTAATTTAATAGTTACAATGCGACGCAATGCCACGCTTCTAAACTACGAGAATATCGTAAATCTATGACTATAATAAATTACAAATAGATGCCGATTTAAATTAACCTAGAATATCACAAAACATGACTGACATCACTTTTCAACATTTTGTCACTCTAAACATAGGGTACTGGACGAAACATGCAGTAAAATACATTGATAAAAAATAGGTCCAAATAATATATGTTATCAACAATAGTGTCCGGCATTTGAGTTGGCACGTTGGCCTAAATATTGTCTTTTACTTGACGTGCCAAAACAAATGTGATAAACAATAAATAATTTAGATGTATTAAACGAGACAGTACATGTATCTAAGTAAAACATAAACTAATACATAATTTAGAGTGCAATCAGTCTGTTGAAACCCTTATTTTAATAACAAAATGAATTTATACAAAAATTCATTAAATCAGACATAAAAATCCCGTGATTACAAAAAGAATACATTAAAAAAATATAATACAATGAAATAAAATGCGTTATAATTGGACTTTCAGCTTTGGCAATATTTAAGGATTAAGGATAACATTAGGGATATAAGTAACTCTATATATATTTATTAGCCCATATCATATAAATTTAAAGCACTAAAAATACTATATTATAGGACAAGTACATAATTATCACAATCCATGAGAATGCAGCTTGCAAAATGTCACCGAATGATTATTTCATATTGTCATTCAATCCGTTCACGACTTTGCTGACGTCATTTCGTTCAACATCGTTACTCGCGTTACGTACGATTCTACTGACGTTATTCCCGTTTCATATGGGTATATATTTATATTTACTTACGGACACGGATTGGAAATTTAAAACATATTGTAGAGAGTGTTTACATGTCCGCGAATTAAAAATGAACAAGCAATAAGTGATACTATCTGTGTAGAATTAATTTTCCTCTTCATGAACTATTGCGCAGTATTCAGTAACTGCTCTCATAACGTACTTATCATATTAATAATTATTAAACATTTGACATTGGGGAATTACAAAGTGGGCGTTAGTAAAAATATACGAACGATAAGTGTCCGTAAAAAAAGCCCATGGAAAATATTATTTTCGAAACAATTTTGTATTTCATTTACAAATTGTCCAATTTTTATTTTCCCTTTTATTTTACATACGTCCACAAATATCTACAATATACATACAAAACATTTCATTCAAAACACACAAATAGGAATGACTTAAAATGAAATTTTACAACAGTGATCCCAAGTTAAATTATTTCAAATAAAAACCTCTTAATACGAATCGACCATAGATTATTTCAATGCAATAATTTCTAGACATTTGATGAAGTAATAATATAACGAATCCTAAAAATAATAATAAAACAGCAAGTACACAAAAATAATGACAGACTTAAAATACGCTTAACGAAAAAGTAAGGTCATTTTATACTATGTTTTTTTCTTCGTTCTAGACAAAATATTTAAATCTCGTGCAAAATGTTACATTACAATTAAGAACAAAATCTGAAAAACTAAAACCTAATTTAGAACGATCAATTTTACTGGGAAATTTTACAATTATCGAACACCTTAGAATATAAGTATTTTTGAAAAAATTCTAACAATTTTCAATTAATACTCCAAATTAATTGAATTTTATTAAAGCTATAAATCGATTTGAATGCATCGGATTATAATAATTAATTACTCATTCATTTCACTCACTAAATATATCATTCAATATCATTCATTCGTTCAATACCTTAGGACATGGAGTCGTATCTGGTGTCAGAAGTGAGCGGGTCATTGTCGTCTCTTTGCCGGAAGTCGAATGCATTCCTAAAGCTATCTCTAAGTCTCTCAGTGAACGTTTTATAATCTAAGTGAGCTTGTTGGCCGAATTCGAAATCGGCCACTTCTATTGTATACCTGAAAAATAAAAAAAGTTAAAAAAAATGTTGATTTGTCTTTTGCTACTAGCTTTTGTTGGGGGCTATGTTATTTTGGAATTGGAGGGAAAATATTAACATAACCTTAAGCAGTGATAATCTAAAATTTGTAATGGTGAAAGCATTTTTAAAATATTTTTATGAGTGCGTAACTTTTAAGAAAAAAAATTATTTCTCGATTTTATAACTACAGCATTTGACAATGCAAGAAATAAGTTTTTTTATAAAAAAAAATTGTTCTCCCCTTTTTATGTTCTTTGTACAACACAAAAGTTCTCTTATAATGACTTAGGGTGACGAATTCGTGCTTTGCTTCAGGCGTCATTGTAATTTGCCAGTTTTTAAAAATTAAATAATCAAGCCGAGAAAAGAAAAAAAAACACCTTCCTTTTGTTAATGAACATCAAAGTGATAAAATTAACAAAATAAGAATATATAGTCTAACTATTCACTAAAAATTTAATTGTAGAAAAAAAACCTCTAGTGGTATAAATGTTTTCATATATCTCGGGGGCCCAAGGTCATTATTGTGGCGTTGTGCCGTTTTTTGGCATCTCTTTAGGATTCATTTTACTTCGAATATTCCGTACGATGTTCCGAACCGCCAAGATATATACTATATCTAGATATATTCTAGAAATATAAATTACCTTGATCGATGTTGGTAGTAGGCGATACCGAAAACAACCAAAATAACAGCTACCAGGCAGAATACCACTGGCACAACTATTACCGATAATTGGGAGTGAACAGTAGCTGAAAACGAAATTTATTATTTAAAGAAAAATAGAAAACATTAAAAAAATATGTCACGCCAAACAGCAAGTAAACCATGAAAGACCTAGTTTCCAAAACAAATTAGTCAGGCGTGATCTATTTCTATTATATTTGTTTAGTGGAAAAAGGTCTAAGCATAGCAACATATTGCAATATATAGTACCTTTATAAATATTGATTGTAGCCCTCGAAACTGTCTTGCCCATATCATTCTCGACAACAACAACAACTGTATGCTGATCACAATCCGAGAAGTAATGGACCAGAGGGAATGCGTTCGATAGAGTTGATGATTTATAAACGCATGTCTCATTTCCAGTAACATTATATTGCCCTTCCTTGTATAAAGCACAGAACGCAAAAGGTGGGGAACCTGTGTACTTCACTTGTAGGTTAAGTAAGTCGCCATGTTGTAGCCAATTCAGTCCAGTTATATTAACAGTTGATATAGGTTCTGAAAAACAAAGATTGAAGATAAAAAACTTAATATTTGCATATGACAACTGTAAATTAACAAACAACACTGAACTAAAATGAAACCAGAGATTCTAATAACAATGTGTGCTAAAATAGCCCATAGACAACATTAAATATCTCACCTCTTACACTTATAGTTTCTTGATAGTGACCATATGTGTATGATTTTCCAATAGGGACAATACTGGAGTTGTGACAGATGTAATCTTTTGTTGAATTATTCCTCTTCCTAGTTGTTTGATTGGAGATCATTCGTTTTACCATATTATGGATTGGAACACTTTCAGTTGTTTCTGATTGTAATGGTTTAATAGTAGTACTTGGTATAGTAATTGTTGTTGGTGGTTTGGGTGTTGTAGTTGTTGTGGTCGTGGTTGTGGTTGTTGTTGTTGTGGTGGTGGTTGTTGTGGTGGTTGTGGTTGTTGTCGTCACTGGAGGCAATGGTAAATTGTTTGCCACCACCAATGCATCAATATAGTGATCAGCCATTAAATCATGGTATGTGTAATTCAAAGATAGATCAGTAGTTTGATCTATATAAATACAATCTATGAACCAATAAGTTATAATTGTAGAAGCATTATTTTTTAAATACTCCATTTCATTATCTGGTAATTTTATATAATGCATTACAGTTTTGTTGACAGCCACAAAATTATTAGGGCGCTCAAGATTATCCTGATTTAGCACTAAATTACCATTTAGGGAATCTGAAAATGAAACCAGCTCATGAATATACAAACAAATCTTACTAATATTTCAAATGTGAATGTCAAGTTGGAAGGATGGATGTTAGTTAGCATTTGTACTCAAAACTGCTGAATGGATGTCAAAGAATCTTTACTTCTTTTTTTAAATCTAAGCCAATGAAGTCACGGGCAAATACTAGTATAATATAAATATAATTGAAGGAAATTTTGGTACTTTTAATCTATGATATTACTCAGTATGACAATGGGGTAGTACATACATGCTAGCTATTACATCACTTTTGGATGTCAGATAAAAATGTTTATATTAAAAAACATAAGAGAAGAGATACAAACATGTTTGTTTAAGCTATCAAATAAAATGTAATATAAGCATCTTAAAGTTTATTAACAAGTATGGTGTTCATCAAGGCTATAATTTGAAGGTTTTATTTAAAATGTATTCTTTGATTCTATTATTGTGATGAGTTTTTATAGCATGTTTTACTGAGACTTAACAACATTTAAATTTACTGTAAAACTATGAGGTAAAAAAAAAAACAAAGTACAGTCCTGTACTTGTACAACCTGCAATAATATAGGGATTGTTATGTTTATAAAAGGTTGATCATAACTTTGAAATGGTTATATCCGATTGATAACCGAGGTCTTCATTTTATTATTAGAACAGTTTTTGCTAGTAATCCAAACAGCATTGAAATTAAAAACAAATGCAGCCTATATGCTCTTCTAGAATATATTCTACATCTGTGCCAAATTTAATCAAGATCCATTAAGATGTTTAGGCAGCAAACTCTAACAAACATCCATCTATACTTTCACTTTTATTATATTTATGAGAAGTAAGATAAGATTATCTTTTACCCTACTTTAATTATCATAAAGTGTGAATTAAATAAAAATATATAAGATTGCATACAAATAAAATTACCTGTCAACCTGAAAGTGGAGCTTGCTGATGTAACAAAATACCAAATACCATAGAAACTCTTCATCAGCTTAACTCTCATAACATATTCTCCTGCCTCATATAACTCTTTAGGGTACTCCACTGTCCATTTTGACTCATTTGTTGATAATTGGAACTATAAAAATAAAAAGTATAAGTAATATATTCAAGTAAAATTACATCACAGGACTTACAACACTGCTTGTGTTAAAAATTAGAAATGATCATTGTGTTACTATTAAATTTTAAGGATAAATATACTGAAATATATGGATATATCTAAAATTTGTTAAATTGGTAAGTAAAAATTATACCTCTTGTTCATGTTGAGGTTGCACATCATCACTAAATACATATTTTAGATTTTCTCCACCATAACCCTTTACTCTTGCAGTGAATGTTATATTCGACCCACGAACGGCTGGACCATCATTTACAAGTGACACGTCAAGGGAGCACCAAACTAAAAAGAAATATTCCACGTTTACATTAATATTCCTAAGGGCAATGTTCATTTTTAAACGCTAAAAATAATAAATTGGACTCACCACTTTTGTAAATGTACATAAAACTAATGATAAATATGAAACGTCCCATGGTGGAAAAACTGACAGCAGTTTACAAAAGCTTTAAATATCAGAGCAATTGTAAATAGTCTTGTATAACAACGCCAATCATCTGAAACACTTTGTTAATCAACTAAACAACGCAAAATAAAGAAATATCAATACAATACAGCCACTTTTGCGTCATCACATGCTTTGACATAAGATTAGAAATATGTCAAATTCATTTATGATGTGACAATACAGATGACAATTTTTTATCGATTTATTGACTCAAATCGAAAAAATCGTAGTTAACTGGCGGGGGATTTTCCAAGATTTAAAAATATTTTAAACCCGATAACTCTCAGCAGTGCGTCTATTCACACAGAAATTGTATTTACTGAGCTAAGCTATATTTACTATGTAAACTTAGCAGGCGTAAAAGTAATGAAATATTTAAAATGTAAAAACACTCAAAAACCCCGAACTAAACGTATTTAAATTTATTTATAGGTTCTTCTATAGTATTTTTTGAGTCAAATACCTTAAGTTAAATCTAACAAAAAATAGCATATTTAGTAAAAAAAAATAAACTATCCACAGTTCTTCAATAGAATGCTGTGTTTTTTTATCTTTTCAGTTTGTTGAATCTGTTTCTCGCATAAATGTGATGCGCAGGAGGTGTGTTATCTGTGAAAGCTAGAAAGGCAAACAGGCAAAGCAAAGCAAATCTTATGAAATATTTTCCTCTTATTTTGTTTCTGCTCCGTTTCAAACAAACATTTAAAATAATAAGAGAACAAATATGTTAAACTTCTGAAGTCGTGTTTGCAGTATCTGCGAATAAATTTATTAATAAATCATAAAATGGCTACCGTATTTGATAGTCCTTTCATTCGACAACGTTTGCATCGTTTGCGGCATCGCGACTTTGACTTGGACGAGGATCAAAGATTTGGTCGATGTGATTGTACCAGTTATTCCTATTTTGTTCTATCGATGGTTCTATTTTCTGTTGGTACCGTTATAACAGTACTAGCCTTGGGAGACACAGATGGCTACATATTAAGCAACTTAGGACACATGTGGCTTGTTGGACCAATATTTATTTGTTCTGGAATGATGGTTGCAGTTAAGAGCATGCTGTATTTACGAAGGAAAAGTGTTATACAAATGCTTTTACATCAGCGTGCAATAATCAGGGTAAGTCATGTGACTTCATAGTTTTTGAACATAACTTTTTTGTATTTTTTTATTGACTTGTATCTCCTTAAAAAATAAAAAAAAACTCGTATCTTGTCCAACAACTTTTCTAACCCAGAAAGAAAATTATCACCAGTATAAGCCTTGTTTACATAGCCTTAACCCAATAACCACATACCTTATCAACAAATGCAAATTATATTACAAGGATGTTTTAATTTGTATGTTTGTCTTAGATTTGAATTTGACACATTCAGAAAAGAAGTTCTGGCTTTTGATTTCATCAATAAAATATTTATTTTCAAGTATTGCAACAATGCTTCTTGTATTGCGATAAAATAAATTACATGCTCATATAAATAATTTGCTTTCCTTTGAATTATATGCTTTATTTGTCTGTTATGACTAATTCGAGCTATTTGTAACAACTTCCTAAAAGGAAAATGCAACTGAGTCACCAAACAGGCTTGTACATAGAATTATTAAGCTGTTATCTTTTGATTCTACTCACCAGTAGTTTGAGTTGAGTAATTACCCTGTAAATATAGCAAAATACATTTATCTGTGTTTTTCAAGTTTTATGATTGACTATAGTTTTAACCTGCTAGCTTATTATTGCCAATTAAAACAGGATGGAATTAAAAATAATTAATTTGCTAATTGTCCTAACACTTAAAGAAAATCAGATGACATTTAAAGTGCATCATTGTCTTATTATGCATTGGCAAGTGATTATATTCTATTACCTGTCAACATGTGCAACTCAGTCTGCTCATAATAAAAAAAAATAGTTGACTGTGGTCTTGGAGCCTAATCCATATCTGGGCCAATTTCTTTAAGATTGATTAAGCCATTTTCCATTTAAAAAACATCCATCCATCAGAACTTTCACATCTTACTAATATTATAAATGCGAAAGTTTAGATGGATGGATGGATGGATGTTTGTTAGCGTTTGTAGCCTAAACGGCTGAACGGATCTCCATGAAATTTGGCACAGGTTTAGAGCATAGTCTGGAAGAACACATAGGCTACTTTTTATCCTGGGAATAGTTACGGTTCCCATGGGATTCATTAATTTAGTTTTTTAATGTTTACTCCATAAATTCTGCAATGGTTCAACATATCTTATTGTAATTTGGCATAGATATAAAACAATGCCTGGAGTACACATGGAATAAGCTTCATCCCCGAGATATGACCGTTTTCTGAGGGATACATAGCTTTTTGTAATTTATATAGTTTGTATGTTTTCTAATACCACGCAGAAGAAGTCGCGGGCAACAGCTAGTTTATAATATTAGTATGATATAAGTCAAAGTAGTCATATTTATATCTACCACAACTTAAAATATGTTTTTTTGTAGGACATGGCAGCTGTACAAGCAGAGCAAGCATTTGGTGGCCAAGTGCCTAGAACAGCTTCGAGCGCTACCCTTCCACCTTCATATGATGCTTTAATCGCCAGTGCTACTACAAGTAAGCCTCAGCCCTCAGGCTCGGAACCGCCTCCACCCACATATGATGAAGCTATGTACCTCATTGATGATGAGAAACTAAGAATGGAAAATAGAATTGAGCATAGTGCTAAACAAGAGACCAGTGACCAAACATCTAGTATCAACAATGATATTAGTTTTAAACCGTGAATTGATTTACTTAATTTTTTGTTTACAATAGTCATGTAAGTAAAACTTAATTCTTCCTTTGTACTTATAATTTGCATTAGTCAACTATGTAAATTCATAGTATTCTCAGATGTGCCTAAATATTGACTTGTTGGCGATGTTGTTATTAAGGTATTTTAGATAATTAAGGAAAGCCTTATAGCTTAAGATGATAAAATATGAATTTGATAAGGTTTTACTCTCGCCCTGGATATTTTCGATAGGAATATTGATTCATGTTTAAGTATTTTTTTAGAATGAATCAAAGTGTGAACAAAATTAGCTATCAAATTGTTTTTGAAATGTAATCAGAAATTTATAAAATGCAAATATGTAATGCATTTAATTAGTAAAAGTTTTAAGATTTGTCCTGATTTTTATCAGGATTGAAATAAACTGTGTGCCTAAATCTTTAAGTGGTGATATGACATTATTTTTGTATCATATTTTTACTGGAATATATTTGAAGCAATAGATCAAATATTTGCTATATTAAGTAAAATTTTATTGCTATTCAGTGCAAATATTAGTAATTCCAGCTTTGTTTCATTGGTTGATAAACATTTGCAATTTAGACAATTCAAATAATTTCTATTTTGACAAAAAAGGAATAAAATGAAATGGTTCTCAATTTTATAACCAATTTAATTGAATGACATTTATTAGGTCTATTGCATGTTGAAAAGTTTTTAAGTCTCACTATACAGGATGTATAAATTTATCAATTAATGAAAATGAGAGTTAGCACAGGAAGTGCATAGAATGTCATTATGTTTTCATTTTATTAATATACAGAAAATTTATATTTTAAAATTTATTAGCACTTTGTATAATTGCATTGTATAATCCTTAACTGTGATCATGTACTATCAGTGATAAATTATAGTATACTCAGAAATTACTATGAATTCGCTAAGATATATTCAATTGACAAAATATTTGGATGATTCCAAATGAATACATTACAATGATGGTTGCAATAAAACCTAATTATATTTAGCTTCTAAGCACAATTGCTTGCAAGCTACTGGCTTAGGCCAGCTACTGGCATGTATAAACACTGACATGCATGATAATAAACTGGCATGTAAGTGGTGGGGGACTATGAAGCTTGTCAGACATATCTCATTCAGTCTCATGTACTGGAATGCTAGTTAATATTTCATTTTACTGGCTTGTGTACCCCCCACTATTACTACATTACTAGTAGATATGTGTAACTTATTTATACTGCTGTAAAACATGGGTTTCTTTGAAGTCTTTTTCAACTTATAAAAGTTATGTTGTGTGTTTAAAGATATCCACTTAATGAACAAATTCCTTTTTACATGTAATCATGTTTTGGTGTTTTGAATAGAATGAAAATAATGAATTATTGAGAATAATCACAACATAAAGCTATCAATGTTAGGATTTTGTTTAAGAATAATAATGTCCTATCTCCTTGCATTTCAGTTTTAAGGTTAATTTACAATGGTTTATTTAATTCTTATTTTTAAATGTGATTAACATTTTACAATTTTTTTGTTAACTAATGAAGTCAGTTTAAACAAAACCTCGAATAGATTAGTGGTCTGATTTTGCACATGATGCAAAGACTGAAGCATTTACATATATTGTTGTTGGCAATTTATATAAAGAGAAATGTTTTGTACATAGAATAGTTGTAATGTTGATCTGATAATCTTCAGAAAGTGAATTACATCTAAATATGTATTATTAAATTAAAAGAAATTGGACTTTTCACTTAAATTACAATTAGTATTTGATTTCATTTACAATGGTAATTAAAAATGACTTAATGAGTTTATGCTCAATTAACTTTTTTGTTATGAGGCTATTTTTTTTCTATATTGTGTGGTGACACCTTAAAAAAATAAAATATACAGACAGATGAAATACAGTGATGCAAGCAATATTTTTTACATCAGTTTAGATTTGTTAACTTGAAATATTGATTGTTTGAATTACTGCATTGCATTTATCTAGTCAAGAAATTAATTGATTTTATATTTTAAGTTCTGATTAATTGCTTACTTCACTAAAACATAAATTACATATTCTTTTTCTGATTTTGCAGTGTTTTATTTATATTAACAGAACAAAACAGTCATGTACACAAATTCCACTTAATCTTATGTTAATCTACCAAAATATTTAGCTCTATAACAAAAATCTCGCAATTGTGGCCATTGTACAATGAATATGTCTGCAAAATATTGAAGGATTTTTCCTGACAATGACAATGTTCTCACGCGACATATACTCTCAATGAAGACAATTCTACAATCTAATAAGAACAAGCATCTCAACAAAAAGGCAACAGCACAAACTGGTATGCAAGTTCCTGGTCCATTACATAAAATGACATCAGGTTTAAATTTATAAATAACTGGTACAGTGCATAATGTTGCATGTAATGTACTAAACACAGAAGATAAGTATGTTTGCTTTACTTTTCTACTTCTTGGTATCCGGCTTAATGTATAACCTGTAGTCCCCTTTTCTGTTTCGTGTATTTTAATTTCACTGCTCACGTCACTATCGGCCAAAATGTACAAACGCGGTAGAAACTTATTCTTGTTTAGGTTAGCTATTAATCTTAGCATTTCTGTAGTATGACCACCTGATCCAATACAAATAACAGTTTTTAATGATGGTTCCTGTATTGCTAAGTTGCACTCAGATCGTAGTACCTTACAAACAACCCATAGGATTCTTATTAAAAATGTTATGCTAAATAGAAGTAATATTATCGCATACAGTTCCATGATATTGAAAAATAATACAAAAAGTCAGTAAATAAAATAAACCGAAATAAATAATGAGACTGACGTTGACAGTTGACATTGACACTTTTCAACTACACAGAGTATAATCTCGTGTATATGTCTTTGAAATAACTAAATTCCAAAGACCTATATCTACTCTATTCTTGGCGGGAAGCCTGAAATTCATATTTGACATTTCGTCAGTTTTCGCAAACATAACCTTAATTTGTGGTAAATGTTTACTTATAAATTAAAAAATGGATGAAGATAATTGTGATGGACCATTTACGGTTTGGCAAATGTTTAATGCGCCGACTATGGTGCTATTCAATAACCTTGAACATGCAGCGGAAGGTCTTGAAAGATTATTAACATCAATTTTGAAACTTTCTGGGTGAGTCAAAACATTTACTATAGTTTTTATTCTTGTTTTACATTAAATTTAAAGTGCAACTACCCTGAATTCATTATATCACCAATACATGTAATACTCTTTTAATGTACTTGGTGTTGAATTGCGTTGCATTGATGTTCTTTTAACTATTATCGCACTAAACTTACTTATCTTATTCCAGAGATTTTTCAGAAGTGTTAATACCCAGAGTTGGATCTACCAAATGTCCTGATAATTACTATTGTGCTTTTAATACTTGGTTATTGGGACGATTATTTTATGTATGTGCTGTCAAAGAATTAAACACGTAAGTACTAATGTTTTATATTAAAATAATGGTATAAAACACATATCACAAATACTTGGATAATATCTTTTCAGGATACATGAATCAAGTAAAGATGCCCAAGTTAAAATCCTAAACATATTATGTGTGAATGGGGCTTCTTTTTATGAAAAATTAATTTTGCAGTATCACTCAATACTGTTTGCTTTAATCAAATATTATAAAGAAAACTCAGACAGCCTTACGCCAGCCGAAATACAATTGGATAATTTTAAACCTGAGCAGATTGAAATACCTAATGTGCAATTAAACTTGGAGCCAATAAGTGTTCAAGTTACCAATATGAATACATGCACATTACTGATAGATGTTGTGTTACAATTACTATCAGAATGCATACCTCCATATTTAATTAATATTGACAAATTTTTATCCCATCTTCAAAAGCTATTTGATAATGTCTTATTCATGCTTGAGCATTATAGTATAGAAGTTAAATTATTAACATTAAATTTTTATGCTAACCTAATAAACAATACTAATAATTCATCAGGGATCCATTTTCAAAGTAGTTTTCCTCAAACATATAGAAAATTATTATGCTGCTTAGAATGTATGGTGCAAAATACAGATGTACTGTTTGAAAAATGCAATATAACATCAGACCAACTAACAAATTTTAACAGTGTATTATTGGAATTGTTAAAAACATGTGACAAATCTTTAAATGCCAATCACAAAGATGTCCTATCAACAATTGCTATAACGGTATTGAAAGATACATCAAATACAATCTTTAAAAAAGAACTCAAATTATATTGTCTATCATTAAGCAAGACCATATATTTTCCTAAAGATATATTACAGATTGAAAAAAGAGATTCTAATGAAATAGATATGTTAGCAGATTGCTACTACGAAAATATATCAGAAAATAGCCAGAAATGTCAAATAAATGATATAAAAGAGGACTGGTTCTTCAAACAAATTGTTAATGTGATTTTTCATAGTTTGGAATGTAGTAATGATTCAAGAGATGCAACTACACTGTCATTCAATTTAAATAGATGTTTATCTGTGTTAAGTATATTGCAAAAAGTTATACACTATAAAAATAGCAAAGATCAATGCAATGTATTAGAGCAAACAAATTTAAATAATACATTTGAATTGCTATCAAAGTTAATTAAAACACATGATTATATTCTTCTTGAGGACAATGTTTCCTTGTCACTTTTTCTTAATATTGGATTCACAATAACTTCTATTTATAAATATGGGAATGAAAATAAGGTGCAATCATTTCCAAGAAATAAAATAATGCAAATGTTATGCCTTCAAGAATCTTTGCATAATGTAAAAAAAGTTCTTAGCTACAATGAGGATGCTAAAGTGCTTATTCTGAAATATATACTGTTAACAAGGCTTGTCTTAAACACTAAGGAAAATGATACTATGGAGAGAGTGATACTAAATTTAGTTGACACTGTTATACATAATAAAAACTCTTCCACATATAAAGAGGTAAATTTTAAGAATGAGATTCTAGTTAATTTAAAAATAAATTAAAATTGTGATAATTTTTTATTTAATATTTTTCAGATTATATCAATATGCCCTCTATTAATTTTGTGTAAAATAACATTTGCCAGTAAGTTAATTGCTGAAGTATTATTACCAGCTTTTCTTACTAAAGATCCAGAGATTCAAGATCAAATAACAAAGATAGTGCCAGCTATCGCTTGTATGTCATTAGGAACATATGCCATAGTTCTTGGACATTCAACATTTGAAGGCCATTCTATATTTTATAACAAAGCACTAGATATATCACTCATTTGCTATAATTGTCACAATAAAGTTATTTTACTAAAGAATGATTTTTTAAACAATATTAAGAAAGAACACATGGTTTTATATAAAGAAAGTGTTCAAATAACTACATCACAGCAATCAACTTTCAACGGCTTGCGGAATTTGCTTTGTAAATTTTTGAATCGCAAACAATATATAAGTGTAGAGAATAGTCAGTACTGGAAACTACTTGAGCGACTATGTAATCATTATTATGTATTTAAATATGGTTTAACAACTGAAATTATTAATGAGGAAAACTTGAAATATATTTTTAAAGCAATTAAACCACTGATTCCACATAAAGAGGTCAGTATTGCTGTTTTTAATATTTTAAGTACTTAATCTTCGGATTTTTTTTTAAATTACGATTACTATTTATTTTTCAGACTAAAAATAATGAGGGGTCAACACAAAGTGAATATATATTCCCTTTATGTGTTAATTTACTAGTAAAATTAACTCAAACATGTTTAGAGAGCAACAATTATAATAAACAAATAGCAACATTAGATGCTATAAAAGAATTTGGTCTTTATTGTGATGATACAGCAATGTTGCCTATTACGAAACTTTTCATTTATTTCATAATGCACCCACAGTGTGCAGTAGCACCTATAGCAGAGGTTTATTTGAGAGAAATATGTGAATATCACAATTACACACCGAACCAAGTGTATCATAGATATAAAAAAGATTATTGCAGACTGTTTGTTGAATGCAGTCTTTATTGTGGGAAAGATTTCGCGATATCTTTACTAAAAGTTGTCCGAGCGTTTGGTTTTGTTGGCTATAGAGATTTTATTTCCAAAGATATTCATCATTTTTTGCCTTATTTAATACCATATTCAGTAACGATTAAAGAAGTACCATCGATGATTGAAGAAATCGCCTCTTTAGTTCAATGTTCAGTTTCTGATTTTATAATTGAAAGATTCCCACTTATTTACGTTCATGTATATTTAAACGAGAATAATGCTGTCGCTGATAAATGTTATTCAGTACTTGAGAGATTGACGAAATGTTCAATTTTGAACCTTATTAAGAAGCATTTTAGAGTTATTTTAACTGAATTTTTGCTTCAATACTGTTGCAATCCCGAGAAAGTATTAAACGCTTGTAGGTATTTAGCGTGTCATGACCCTGATGCTACTCCGACAGGGAGTATGAAAATGAGTAGTACTCAAATAGCGGATTTCTTGAATCCTAAATTCTTGGGTGTTCTTGCATACTTTGATCATAAACTAGTGAATGCTAAAGTTGCATTATCAGTGAAGAGAAAAGCATTAAAAAGCTTTCCAGATATGATGCAGTTAATGGGCGTGAAGTACATAACTCCTTTAAGGTTCAAAGTCCTTGCGACTTTGAGGTCAGCTTTGCCTCTTGTTAAAGAATTCCCTACGATATTAGCTGATGCATGGTCAGCGTTTATTCACAATCTCGATAGTATCTCTCTTGGACCTTTACTATCAAATCTTGCTGTATCATTATTACAACAATTCGAATACGCTCCGCAAGAAATCAATAAAATATTTCAATATCTAGTATTAAAAAACGAGAATTTACTAAGCTCACATTTATCAGATCTCTTCTTTCTTGGAGATACGAATATATCGGAGAAAGTTACGGCCGTTATTAAAAGACATGTAAATAGAACACAACCAGAAGGGTTTTTGGATAAAATAAAATGGTACTTGGAACATTTGAATAATGAAATACCAAGAATAAAGGCCTATGCGATTTCACATTTGGATGTATTACTTAAGAATAATAGGAGTGAAATACATAAAGCGATTTTTGGCGGGAAGAATATCGATCCCATAATAGTGGAGCTTATTGATTGTTTATTACTAGGTAAGATACTAGACTACGTATAACAGTTTTCAAATATCTTGGCAGTTTGGAACTTCGTATAAGTACAAGGTGTACTCGGGCTTAAAGAGATGCAGCGGGAAGGCACTGGGCAGGGTACAATAACCTTGGGCCGTTAACTAATATTATACAGGATTAGTGTTTTTTTTTTTAATTTTCGTACGTATTGAAATAACTCAAAAACTAGTGGGCCGATTTTAAAAATTCTTTCAGCATTAGACAGCTAATTTATCTTTGAGTAACAAAGACTATTTTTTTTAATTTCACGCGGGCGAAGTCGCGAACAATAGCTAGTAAAGTTGATGTCTATAGCAAATATTTCTCCAGGTTGCAAAGACCCTGATAGCAAAGTGAGTGAAGCCAGTGGATCTTGTCTAGGACAGTTGGGGGCTATCGAAGCAGGCCACTTACCCCGTCAATACGTGCAGCCTGATAGATCGCCATTCGCCTTCACAATAGTCGACAACTGTTTCGCGGCTACCGCTCTTGTAGAACTTTCTAGAGCATTCCAATACGAAAAGGATACAATGGTAAGTAACCGCCTCTAAAATAGTCTCTTAAAGAAATTCTTAAAGAGACTATTCTCTCTTCTTGATTAACGCAATCAGGATCGTTTAATGGTTCCTTTACTATATTAAGCATCCCCTTAGTAACTTAGAGTGACGGTATTTTATTACTATTTGCTATACGAATGGTGAAATATCATTAATTCTTTCAGAATATGGACTGTTACGCTTTAACCATACAAGAAATATTAAAAACGTACGAAATCTCACCAACTGGCAGTAAGAAGGAGGTATGGGATAGCTTCCCAGAGAATATGCATCAGATTATGTACCCTTTATTAAGTTCAAGGTAATTTTAACAATTAGGAATATAAAAAAAAAGATGGTTATTATCTATACTTAATATGTGCTGTTGCTCGCGACTTCGCTCGCGTGAAGTTAAAAAACATAGCCTATGTTACGTGAGTAATGTAGCTTGTTAATAGTGAAAGAGTTTTTGCAATCGGTCCAGTAGTCTTTGAGTTATTTCAATATATAAGAAAAATAGAAACCTTTATATTATTAGTATATATTGTAAAGAGGAAATATTTACATTTTTGTATTATTGAAATAACTCAAAAACTACCTATCAATGTTAAATTTTTTTACACCATTAGAAAGGTTATCTGTGAGTATCATAGGTTAATTGTTTTAATATCACGCGGACGAAGTCGCAGGCAACAGCTAGTAATCAATATTTGTTTTTTTTTTCAGGTATACATTGGCGTATCCATCACAACCAAAGAAGTTACATCCACTTTTCGGTTCCGTTCATGCGACAACATTCTTAGAATGGGCCCACAAGTAAGATAAATCACTTGTACTCCAACTAAAATACAAATATTACTATTTCAAATGTCAGTACCCAAATTCAAGTCCTTAAATAGTCACTAAGAGCGTCCTTTAGTGTAGATATACTTATTTTTATTGACAGTTACGAAGCGGGAGGTCAGAGAATATATGTAAATATGAAATCTACTCTGTGATTTATGATTAATTGTCCGCGTGAAATTAAAAAAATATAGTAAAACATAGCCTATGCTACTCATTGAAAACATAGCTTTAAAATTATACAAGAATCTGAAATCGGTTCAGTAGTTTTTGAGTTATTTCAATACATACAAAAACAAAATCTTTCCTCTTTATAATATTAGTATAGATATGGCAGTTAGTATGAAAAGTGTATTACGAGAATACAGGTTTACCTTAGTGATTATTTAACGACTGTATTCAGAGGTCAATGTAAAAATTGGCTTGTTTCATATTACAGTTGGACAGGTCAATTGATATCAATAATAGAGTCTGAAAGTATCCGTGACTTGCTGCGTACAGTACACCCCAGTATGCGGCGCGATCTCCGCACTCTGCTGTTATTCTTTCCTTATGTATTATTACATGCTATAGTGTCTAAAACTGACACTAAATATATACAAGAAGAGATAATGGCGGTTATAGGTAA